ACTTCACACGTGCCTCTTGTTGCTCGCCCGCACAACGCGTGTGCTCGTGTGCGCGCGTGTGTGTGTGCGTGTGTGTGCGTGTGTGCGCGTGCGTGTGTGCGCGTGTGTGTGTGCGTGTGTGTGTGCGGGTGTGTGTGCGTGTGTGTGTGTGCGCGTGTGCTCGTGTGTGTACGTCTGTGTGTGTACGTCTGTGTGTGTGTGCGTGTGTGCACGTGTGCTCGTGTATGTGTGCGTGTGTGTGTCCAAATAGTTGGCACAGTAGAGGGGCACAGGCGGTACATCAGCCGGTCATCTCGGTCGTCTCAGTCAGTCGACCCGTGGCACCTGGGTCTGCCCAGTGACCTCCTGCCAGCGGGCGTTCGACGCTTCACGTGGCCTCAGGGTGCACATAGCCTGGCACAAGCGTCGTGGTGACGTCACCGCCACTTAGTGGCGAATGGCGGTTGTTGTTGTTGTCTAAATAGTGCCAGTTTCCATCTCATCACCACCTGAATCATCATCAGCATCATCACCACCTGCATCATCACCACCTGAATCATCATCAGCATCATCATCACCACCTGCATCATAATCAGCATCATCAGCGTCATCATCAGCATCATCATCAGCATCATCATTTGGTCGTCGTCTTCGCCTCTGCTGCCAACTCGTTCTACTTCTACATTGCGCCACTCTTTGGCTCCAGGCCGGGAAGCGGCAATCCCGGTGTAGCGGTACACTTCAAGTGCCAATACCTCTGTGTGGTGAGTCTGTGTGAGTCTGTGGGTCTCTGTGTGTCTCTGTGTGAGTCTGTGGGACACTGTGTGTCTCTGTGGGTCTCTGTGTGAGTCTGTGGGTCTCTGTGTGTCTCTGTGTGAGTCTGTGAGTCTCTGTGTGAGTCTGTGGGTCTCTGTGTGAGTCTGTGGGTCTCTGTGTGTCTCTGTGTGAGTCTGTGAGTCTCTGTGTGAGTCTGTGGGTCTCTGTGTGAGTCTGTGGGTCTCTGTGTGAGTCTGTGGGTCTCTGTGCGAGTCTGTGGGTCTCTGTGTGAGTCTGTGGGTCTCTGTGTGTCTCTGTGGGGTCTCTGTGTGAGTCTGTGGGTCTCTGTGTGAGTCTGTGGGTCTCTGTGTGTCTCTGTAGGTCTCTGTGTGTCTGTGGGTTTCTGTAGGTCTCTGTGTGAGTCTGTCGGTCTCTGTGGGTGCTCTGTGTGAGTCTGTGGGTCTCTGTGGGTCTCTGTGTGAGTCTGTGGGTCTCTGTGTGTGAGTCTATGTGTCTCTGTGTCTCTGTGCTAGTCTGTGGGCCTCTGTGTGAGTCTATGTGTCTCTGTCTGAGTCTATGGGTCTCTGTGTGAGTCTCTGTGTCTCTGTGTGAGTCTGTGGGTCTCTATGTGAGTCTATGTGTCTCTGTGTGAGTCTGTGAGTCTTTGTGTCAATCTGTGGGTCTCTGTGTGAGTCTATGGGTCTCTGTGTGAGTCTATGGGTCTCTGTGTGAGTCTGTGGGTCTCTGTGTCAATCTGTGGGTCTCTGTGTGAGTCTATGGGTCTCTGTGTGAGTCTACGGGTCTCTGTATGAGTCTATGGGTATCTGTGTGAGTCTACCAGTCTCTGTGTGAGTCTGTGGGTCTCTGTGTGAGTCTATGGGTCTCTGTGTGAGTCTGTGGGTCTCTGTGGGTCTCTGTGTGAGTCTACGGGTCTCTGTGTGAGTCTATGGGTCTCTGTGTGAGTCTATGGGTCTCTGTGTCTCTGTGTGAGTCTATGGGTCTCTGTGTGAGTCTACGGGTCTCTGTGTGAGTCTGTGGGTCTCTGTGTGAGTCTGTGGGTCTCTGTGTGAGTCTATGGGTCTCTGTGTGAGTCTGTGGGTGTCTGTGCGAGTCTATGAGTCTCTGTGCGAGTCTATGGGTGTCTGTGCGAGTCTGTGGGTCTCTGTGTGAGTCTGTGGGTCTCTGTGTGAGTCTGTGGGTCTCTGTGTGAGTCTGTGGGTCTCTGTGTGAGTCTGTGGGTCTCTGTGTGAGTCTGTGGGTCTCTGTGCGAGTCTGTGGGTCTCTGTGTGAGTCTGTGGGTCTCTGTGTGTCTCTGTGGGGTCTCTGTGTGAGTCTGTGGGTCTCTGTGTGAGTCTGTGGGTCTCTGTGTGTCTCTGTAGGTCTCTGTGTGTCTGTGGGTTTCTGTAGGTCTCTGTGTGAGTCTGTGGGTCTCTGTGGGTCTCTGTGTGAGTCTGTGGGTCTCTGTGGGTCTCTGTGTGAGTCTGTGGGTCTCTGTGTGTGAGTCTATGTGTCTCTGTGTCTCTGTGCTAGTCTGTGGGCCTCTGTGTGAGTCTATGTGTCTCTGTCTGAGTCTATGGGTCTCTGTGTGAGTCTCTGTGTCTCTGTGTGAGTCTGTGGGTCTCTATGTGAGTCTATGTGTCTCTGTGTGAGTCTGTGAGTCTTTGTGTCAATCTGTGGGTCTCTGTGTGAGTCTATGGGTCTCTGTGTGAGTCTATGGGTCTCTGTGTGAGTCTGTGGGTCTCTGTGTCAATCTGTGGGTCTCTGTGTGAGTCTATGGGTCTCTGTGTGAGTCTACGGGTCTCTGTATGAGTCTATGGGTATCTGTGTGAGTCTACCGGTCTCTGTGTGAGTCTGTGGGTCTCTGTGTGAGTCTATGGGTCTCTGTGTGAGTCTGTGGGTCTATGTGGGTCTCTGTGTGAGTCTACGGGTCTCTGTGTGAGTCTATGGGTCTCTGTGTGAGTCTATGGGTCTCTGTGTCTCTGTGTGAGTCTATGGGTCTCTGTGTGAGTCTACGGGTCTCTGTGTGAGTCTGTGGGTCTCTGTGTGAGTCTGTGGGTCTCTGTGTGAGTCTATGGGTCTCTGTGTGAGTCTGTGGGTGTCTGTGCGAGTCTATGAGTCTCTGTGCGAGTCTATGGGTGTCTGTGCGAGTCTGTGGGTCTCTGTGTGAGTCTGTGGGTCTCTGTGTGAGTCTGTGGGTCTCTGTGTGAGTCTGTGGGTCTCTGTGCGAGTCTGTGTGAGTCTGTGGGTCTCTGTGTGAGTCTGTGGGTCTCTGTGTGTCTCTGTGGGTGTCTGTGTGTCTATGTGGGTCTCTGTGGGTCTCTGTGTGAGTCTGTGGGTCTCTGTGGGTCTCTGTGTGAGTCTGTGGGTCTCTGTGGGTCTCTGTGTGAGTCTATGGGTCTCTGTGTAAGTCTGTGGGTCTCTGTGTGTGAGTCTATGTGTCTCTGTGTCTCTGTGCTAGTCTGTGGGCCTCTGTGTGAGTCTATGTGTCTCTGTGTGAGTCTATGGGTCTGTGTGAGTCTCTGTGTCTCTGTGTGAGTCTGTGGGTCTCTATGTGAGTCTATGTGTCTCTGTGTGAGTCTGTGAGTCTTTGTGTCAATCTGTGGGTCTCTGTGTGAGTCTATGGGTCTCTGTGTCAATCTGTGGGTCTCTGTGTGAGTCTGTGGGTCTCTGTGTCAATCTGTGGGTCTCTGTGTGAGTCTATGGGTCTCTGTGTGAGTCTATGGGTCTCTGTGTGAGTCTGTGGGTCTCTGTGTCAATCTGTGGGTCTCTGTGTGAGTATATGGGTCTCTGTGTGAGTCTACGGGTCTCTGTGTGAGTCTATGGGTCTCTGTGTGAGTCTACCGGTCTCTGTGTGAGTCTGTGGGTCTCTGTGTGAGTCTATGGGTCTCTGTGTGAGTCTGTGGGTCTCTGTGGGTCTCTGTGTGAGTCTACGGGTCTCTGTGTGAGTCTATGGGTCTCTGTGTGAGTCTACGGGTCTCTGTGTCTCTGTGTGAGTCTATGGGTCTCTGTGCGAGTCTACGGGTCTCTGTGTGAGTCTATGGGTCTCTGTGTGAGTCTGTGGGTCTCTGTGTGAGTCTGTGGGTCTCTGTGTGAGTCTATGGGTCTCTGTGTGAGTCTGTGGGTGTCTGTGCGAGTCTATGAGTCTCTGTGCGAGTCTATGCGTGTCTGTGCGAGTCTGTGGGTCTCTGTGTGAGTCTGTGGGTCTCTGTGTGAGTCTGTGGGTCTCTGTGTGAGTCTGTGGGTCTCTGTGTGTGTCTATGTGTCTCTGTGTGAGTCTACGGGTCTCTGTGCGAGTCTGTGTGTCTCTGTGCTAGTCTACAGGTCTCTGTGTGAGTCTATGGGTCTCTGTGTGAGTCTATGTGTCTCTGTGTGAGTCTACGGGTCTCTGTGTCTCTGTGTGAGTCTATGGGTCTCTGTGTGAGTCTACGGGTCTCTGTGTGAGTCTATGGGTCTCTGTGTGAGTCTGTGGGTCTCTGTGTGAGTCTGTGGGTCTCTGTGTGAGTCTATGGGTCTCTGTGTGAGTCTGTGGGTGTCTGTGCGAGTCTATGAGTCTCTGTGCGAGTCTATGGGTGTCTGTGCGAGTCTGTGGGTCTCTGTGTGAGTCTGTGGGTCTCTGTGTGAGTCTGTGGGTCTCTGTGTGAGTCTGTGGGTCTCTGTGTGAGTCTGTGGGTCTCTGTGTGTGTGTCTATGTGTCTCTGTGTGAGTCTACGGGTCTCTGTGCGAGTCTGTGTGTCTCTGTGCTAGTCTACAGGTCTCTGTGTGAGTCTATGGGTCTCTGTGTGTGTCTATGTGTCTCTGCGTGAGTCTACGGGTCTCGTTGCTAGTCTGCGGGTCTCTGCGCGAGTCTATGGAGAGGATCACATGGAAATATCAGCGACAGACAACGATGATGATCGCCATCAGTGGAGTTAACTGCTGCTAGAATGCCGTGGACCCATTGGCCTCCTTGAAAGTGGCCCATGGGTAGTAGTTTGATCTCTCTCCACGTCCATGCTAAGGAAGTCTTGCGTCTTTGTTTATAACGCTGCACCAAAGTCCTCTTGCCGGTGGTGTTTTTCCTTACGGGGCTTGGCGTCATCTCTACACTCCCAGGATCCTCGCCTTGCCACGCCCCCTGATCCCCATGTGCCACGCCCCCTGATCCTCGCGTGTGCCACGCCCCCTGATCCGCGTGTGCCACGCCCCCTGATCTCCGTGTGCCACGCCCCCTGATCCACGTGTGCCACGCCCCCTGATCCCCGTGTGCCACGCCCCCTGATCCGTGCGTGCCACGCCCCCTGATCCCCACGTGTGCCACGCCCCCTGATCCGCGTGTGCCACGCCCCCTGATCCGCGTGTGCCACGCCCCCTGATCTGCGCGTGCCACGCCCCCCTTAATCCACTTGTGTCACTCCCCCCACAAAGCACTTGTGACACTCCCCCATAATGCACTTGTGTCACTCCCCCCATAATGCACTTGCGTCACTCCCCCCATAATGCACTTGTGTCACTCTCCCATAATGCACTTGTGCCACGCCCCCCATAATGCACTTGTGTCACTCCCCCCACAATGCACTTGTGTCACTCCCCCATAATCCACTTGTGTCACTCCCCCCACAATGCACTTGTGTCACGCCCCCATAATCCACTTGTGTCACTCCCCCCACAATGCACTTGTGTCACGCCCCCATAATCCACTTGTGACACTCCCCCCCCACAATGCACTTGTGTCACTCCCCCCATAATGCACCTGTGACACTCCCCCCATAATCCACTCGTGTCACTCCCCCCCACAATGCACTTGTGCCACTCCCCCCATAATCCGAGCGTGCCACTACCCCCCAAACAAAACGTGCCACTACCGTGGCAGCGTGTGGCTGTAACCCGCGACCGGGAACGCAAACTCGCGCGCGTTCGCCCGCGGCCGGCGTGCCAGCGCGTGCCACTGCTGCTGCTCGCCAGCGCCGCTGTGCTGCGGCCCCAGCGTGTGCCACTGCTGGGCGGCCCCCCGGGCGCCGCCGCCGCCGCCGCCGCCGCCGCCGCAGCCGCCGGGCTGCTGCCGCGAGAGGCTGTGCCACTGCCGCCGTGGGGCACCGCCTCCTCCCCCGCTGACTCCGCCTCCTTCCCCGCTGACTCCTCCTCCTCCTCCTCCTCCGACTCCTCCCCCGCCTCCGACGCGCACGATGTCGTTGATGATGTTCTCCCTCTGCTCCACACGCCGCGCCATCTCCGCCTCCTCGGGGTCCGAGAAGACGTCGCGAAGGGGGCGCCGAGACTCGCTCGCAGCCGCCGCCGCCGCCGCCGTCGCCGCCGCGTCGTCGTCGCCGCCGCCTCCGCCGTCGTCGCCGTCGGGAGAAGGCGACGGCGGGGAGGGAGTGGACGAGCGGCGGTGGGGGTGGGACGGAGGGGACGGGGCGGCGGGCGAGGGGGAGGCGGGGGAGGGGCGGGGGACGCGGCGGGCCGACAGGGAGAGGACGGCCGAGACGAGGCCCAGGAAGACGCCGAGCACGAAGACAAGGGCCGCTCGCTCGGGAGCGCCTGGGGCGCGTGTGGGGAGGGGGGGGGAGGAGGGAGGAGGGAGGAGGGAGGAGGGAGGAGGGGAAGGAAGAATCAGAATCACAAAGGGTTTTATTCGCCATGTAAGTTCACACCGACACGGAATTTACTTTGGCAGGATGGTGCATGCATTCAACATATAGGAATCTAAAATCTTAAATAAGTTTTAAACAAGTCTTACTATATTCTTAGTTTTTTTCGGTAAAGTCACGTTGAAGAGAAACAACAAAATAATAAAATATATATAAAACAACGTGACTTTATATATAAAACAACGTGACTTTACCGAAAAAACTAAGAATATGAATTACTGCAGTCACGAAAGCTTTAAATCAAAATTTAAGTCTTACTATAATAAGGGTTAAAAGTCTAACACCAAGGGGCTGAAGTATATAAAATTAAATAAATATCGAATATAAAATAGCTTTAAGATATAATAAAAAAATAAAACATACAAATAGGGTAACATAGTTAATATCGGTAAGGTGTCGTTCTGTAGATCAAATGTTAAAAACAGTGTTAGCCCTTGGCCTTGTTTAACAGGCGGAGATGAGGGTGAGAGTCACGTGTTTTTTTATTTAGTTTCCACGAAAATTACCGTGAACCCAAGTGACCGTTAAAAATCAACGCAGGAATGAAAAGTTAAAAACGCATTTAAAAAAAAGACACACGCAAACGCTTCGATCATTTTCCAACAAAGATAACGCACGGCGTGTATTCATTTTCCTCTGATCACGGCGTCGGCGGTGATCGTAATCCCAACACCGATTTGACGAATCCGCGAACGCGCTCCGACTCGCGCACGCACGCGCAGGCGAGGTTTCTCTTAGAACGTGGAGCCTGTAGCCACCGTGAACAGGTCTAGGGTGTTCTCTCAGCCGGCTGAACGAACACGGCAGCAACTTAAAACGTTCGTGTTCGTCGGCGCTTTCGCTAAAAGCCCACGTAGATGGAAGAATTACGACAGATAGGGCGAGTAAAAATTAGCGAAGATAAAACAACAAACGCGACTTCGCTTCGATCACGACGCGAACGACCGTGTCGTGATCGAAACGAGGTTTTATTTTCATTCATCTTTATTCACTTTTTAAAAAAAAAAAATATTCTGTCTAAGCGACTTTACCGAAATAATCAAATAATCCAGCAGCAATTGTCAATAGAATAGGGGACGGAAAAATTCAGATTGAATATTTTTTTTTGTTATGATCAGAATATTGCATTTATACTGCAGGAGAAATCTGATTAGCCACCAGTAAGTGGTAGGGGTAGTGCGAGTGGTAGGGGTAGAGGCAGTGGGAGGGGTAGGGGTAGAGGCGGTGTGAGTGGTAGGGGTAGTGTGAGTGGTAGTGGCAGTGTGAGTGGTAGGGGTAGAGGCAGTGTGAGTGGTAGGGGTAGAGGCAGTGTGAGTGGTAGGGGTAGTGTGAGTGGTAGGGGTAGAGGCAGTGTGAGTGGTAGGAGTGGAGGCGGTGTGAGTGGTAGGGGTAGGGGCAGTGTGAGTGGTAGGGGTAGTGTGAGTGGTAGGGGTAGAGGCAGTGTGAGTGGTAGGAGTGGAGGCGGTGTGAGTGGTAGGGGCAGTGTGAGTGGTAGGGGTAGAGACAGTGTGAGTGGTAGGGGTAGAGGCAGTGTGAGTGGTAGATGTAGGGGTAATGTGAGTGGTAGGGGTAGAGGCAGTGTGAGTGGTAGGGGTAGAGGCAGTGTGAGTGGAAGGGGTAGTGTGAGTGGTAGGGGTAGAGGCAGTGTGAGTGGTAGGAGTGGAGGCGGTGTGAGTGGTAGGGGTAGGGGCAGTGTGAGTGGTAGGGGTAGTGTGAGTGGTAGGGGTAGAGGCAGTGTGAGTGGTAGGAGTGGAGGCGGTGTGAGTGGTAGGGGCAGTGTGAGTGGTAGGGGTAGAGGCAGTGTGAGTGGTAGGGGTAGTGTGAGTGGTAGGGGTAGAGGCAGTGTGAGTGGTAGGGGTTGAGGCAGTGTGAGTGGTAGGGGTAGAGGCAGTGTGAGTGGTAGGGGTAGAGGCAGTGTGAGTGGTAGGGGTAGAGGTAGTGTGAGTGGTAGGAGTGGAGGCGGTGTGAGTGGTAGGGGTAGGGGCAGTGTGAGTGGTAGGGGTAGGGGCAGTGTGAGTGATAGGGGTAGAGACAGTGTGAGTGGTAGGGGTAGAGGCAGTGTGAGTGGTAGGTGTAGGGGCAGTGTGAGTGGTAGGGGTAGATGCATTGTGAGTGGTAGGGGTAGAGGCAGTGTTAGTGGTAGGGGTAGTGGCAGTGTGAGTGGTCGGGGTAGTGGCAGTGTGAGGGGTAGGGGTAGTGGTAGGGCTAGAGGCAGTGTGAGTGGTAGGGGTAGTGGCAGTGTGAGTGGTAGAGGCAGTGGTAGGGCTAGAGGCAGTGTGAGTGGTAGGGGTAGTGGCAGTGTGAGTGGTAGGGGTAGAGGCAGTGTGAGTGGTAGGGGTAGAGGCAGTGTTAGTGGTAGGGGTAGAGGCAGTGTGAGTGGTAGGGGTAGAGGCATTGTGAGTGGTAGGGGTAGAGGCAGTGTTAGTGGTAGGGGTAGTGGCAGTGTGAGTGGTCGGGGTAGTGGCAGTGTGAGGGGTAAAGGTAGTGTGAGTGGTAGGGGTAGTGGCAGTGTGAGTGGTAGGGGTAGAGGCAGTGTGAGTGGTAGGGGAAGAGGCACTGTTAGTGGTAGGAGTAGAGGCGGTTTGAGTGGTAGGGGTAGAGGCGGTGTGAGTGGTAGGGGTAGAGGCAGTGTGAGTGGTAGGTGTAGGGGCAGTGTGAGTGGTAGGGGCAGTGTGAGTGGTAGGGGTAGAGACAGTGTGAGTGGTAGAGGTAGAGGCAGTGTGAGTGGTAGGTGTAGGGGTAGTGTGAGTGGTAGTGGTAGTGGCCGTGTGAGTGTTAGGGGTAGAGGCAGTGTGAGTGGTAGGGGTAGTGGCAGTGTGAGTTGTAGGAGTGGAGGCGGTGTGAGTGGTAGGGGTAGGGGCAGTGGTAGGTGTAGGGGTAGAGGCAGTGTGAGTGGTAGGGGTAGAAGCGGTGTGAGTGGTAGGGGTAGAGGCAGTGTGAGTGGTAGGGGTTGAGGCAGTGTGAGTGGTAGGGGTAGAGGCTGTGTGAGTGGTAGGGGTAGAGGCAGTGTGAGTGGTAGGGGTAGAGGCAGTGTGAGTGGTAGGAGTGGAGACGGTGTGAGTGGTAGGGGTAGGGGCAGTGTGAGTGGTAGGGGTAGAGACAGTGTGAGTGGTAGTGGTAGAGGCAGTGTGAGTGGTAGGTGTAGGGGCAGTGTGAGTGGTCGGGGTAGTGGCAGTGTGAGGGGTAGGGGTAGAGGCAGTGTGAGTGGTAGGGGTAGAGGCAGTGTGAGTTGTAGGGGTAGAGGCAGTGTGAGTGGTAGGGGTAGAGGCAGTGTGAGTGGTAGGGGTAGAGGCAGTGTGAGTGGTAGGGGTAGAGGCAGTGTGAGTCGTAGGGGTAGAGGCAGTGTGAGTGGTAGGGGTAGAGGCAGTGTGAGTTGTAGGGGTAGGGGCAGTGTGAGTGGTAGGGGTAGTGGCAGTGTGCGTGGTAGGGGTAGAGACAGTGTGAGTGGTAGGGGTAGAGGCAGTGTGAGTGGTAGGGGTAGTGTGAGTGGTAGGGGTAGTGGCAGTGTGAGTGGTCGGGGTAGTGGCAGTGTGCGTAGTAGGGGTAGAGGCGGTGTGAGTGGTAGGGGTAGAGGCGGTGTGAGTGGTAGGGGTAGAGACAGTGTGAGTGGTAGCGGTAGCGTGAATGGTAGGGGTAGGGGTAGAGGCAGTGTGAGTGGTAGCGGTAGTGTGAGTGTGAGTGGTATAGGTAGGGGCAGTGTGAGTGGTAGGTGGTAGAGGCAGTGTGAGTGGAAGGGGTAGAGACAGTGTGAGTGTAGGGGTAGAGGCAGTGTGAGTGGTAGGGGTAGAGGCAGTGTGAGTGGTAGGGGTAGAGGCAGTGTGAGTGGTAGGGGTAGTGGCAGTGTGCATGGTAGGGGTAGAGACAGTGTGAGTGGTAGGGGTAGAGGCAGTGTGAGTGGTAGGGGTAGTGTGAGTGGTAGGGGTAGTGGCAGTGTGAGTGGTAGGGGTAGTGGCAGTGTGCGTGGTAGGGGTAGTGTGAGTGGTAGAGGTAGAGGCGGTGTGAGTGGTAGGGGTAGAGGCGGTGTGAGTGGTAGGGGTAGAGGCAGTGTGATTGGTAGGGGTAGAGACAGTGTGAGTGGTAGCGGTAGTGTGAATGGTAGGGGTAGAGGCAGTGTGAGTGGTAGCGGTAGTGTGAGTGGTATAGGTAGGGGCAGTGTGAGTGGTAGGTGGTAGAGGCAGTTTGATTGGTAGGGGTAGAGGCAGTGTGAGTGGTAGGGGTTTAGCCGGTGTGAGTGGTAGGGGTAGAGGCAGTGTAAGTGGTAGGGGTAGAGGCAGTGTGAGTGGTAGGGGTAGTGGCAGTGTGAGTGATAGGAGTAGAGGCAGTGTGAGTGGAAGGGGTAGAGACAGTGTGAGTGTAGGGGTAGAGGCAGTGTGAGTGGTAGGGGTATAGGCAGTGTGAGTGGTAGAGGTAGAGGTAGTGTGAGTGGTAGGGGTAGATGCAGTGTGAGTGGTAGGGGTAGAGGCAGTGTGAGTGGTAGGGGTAGAGACAGTGTGAGTGGTAGGGGTAGAGGCAGTGTGAGTGGTAGGGGTAGAGGCAGTGTGAGTGGTAGGGGTAGAGGCAGTATGAGTGGTAGGGGTAGAGGCAGTGTGAGTGGTAGGGGTAGAGGCAGTGTGAGTGGTAGGGGTAGAGGCAGTGTGAGTGGTAGGGGTAGAGGCAGTGTGAGGGTAGGGGTAGGGGCAGTGTGTGTGGTAGGGGTAGAGGCAGTGTGTGTGGTAGGGGTAGGGGTAGAGGCAGTGTGAGTGGTAGGGGTAGAGGCGGTGTGAGTGGTAGGGGTAGAGGCAGTGTGAGTGGTAGGGGTAGAAGCAGTGTGAGTGGTAGGGGAAGAGGCAGTGTGAGTGGTAGGGGCAGTGTGAGCGTGAGTGGTAGGGGTAGAGGCAGTTTGATTGCTAT